GGGGGCCCCGCTCTGCTGGGCTGCAGAGGCTGGTGGCGCTCTCGACGTAGATGTGTGGCATGCCTTATTTTCTTGCCCAGCCTCGGCTGAGTTTAGGCCCTTCCTGTGGTCTCGCCTCCCCTTGCCTCCTCCCTCCTGTCCTGCCCAGGCTTCTCAGTTTCTCTCCCATCAAGGCCGCCCGCCGGAGAAGCGCCGTGCGCATTTGCATTTTGTTGCCGCGGCCGTGCTCTTGGTCAGGACTGGCGCCGCGCAGCTTTAAGACCGGGTTTGTTTACGGAGCGGTGCCGTTAGTGACGCGCCCAACGGGTGCTTGGGCAAGGAGGTGCCTTGCGAGCGTCGGCACCGTCGCGGCCTGCGCCCAGGCGGGCTAGTGCGCAGGGCGACCGTGGACCTGTGCGCTCGTGCTGGCAAAATGCGTGTTGGGTTTTTGTTGCTGCCCCTGCCTTCTCCGCCTGTCCTGCTTCTCCTTCGGCTCGCGGCTTCTCGTGCCTGCCCTGTGCCCATGCGTTGCGTCCGTCTGCCAGCCTCGCTGTCGCTTCGTGGTCCTGAGTGTCCTCTTCTTGCCGCCTCGTCCCTTATCTGCCGCCTTTTTTTGCCTGACGGCGTCGAGCTCTTTCATTTTTGTCGGTTTGCGTTCCGTCGTCGCCGCCGTTCTGCCGTCGTCCTCGTTTCCGTCGTCCTCGTCGGTCGTTGTCTGTCGTCGTCTTTTGGTGTGCGGGCTAGGGTGCACGATAGGGTGCACTTTGTTAGCGTCTTGTCCTATGTTATCAGGCCCCTCGCCCTTTGACACCTAGCTGGCCGGGGTATGGTTCATCTGTGCGGTTGGCGTCGCTTGCGTTCTTGCTCTTTCTCTCCGAAGAAGTATCGTTCGATACGACAGAGGGCCGTGAATGCTTCATCCACGTGGTGGCGTCACTGACGTGGGCTTGCCTGTCTTGTGTCTTCGGTCTCCCTTCGCGTGTTGCTTCCTGCCTCCTCTTCCTCCTGCCTCCTTGTGGTGTTGCGTGCCCGCGTGCCTGCCTGTTGTGGCCTTGCGCTGCTGTGCCGTGTCGTGGTGGGTCCGCCCGGTGCTGTGCCCGTGCTGTCGTTGTTGTGCCGCCGTGGCGTGCCGTGCTCGGGGTCCGCGTCGTGCGGTGCCCCTGGTCCCGTTGCCGCGCCTTCCCTTGCAAGGTGTCGTCTCGCCCTTGTCCCGCGATCCTGCAGTCCTGCCGCCCACGCTGGGCGTGCACGGGGAGGTCTCCTCTTCCTGCACCCCGCTGCTGCTTCTGCTGTCTTCTCTTGTTCCGTCCCTTGCTGGCAGCGCGCGCGGAGCTGCTGCCCGCGCGTCTTGCTAGGACTGGGGGGGCTAGCCCTTTCTTGGTGGGCCGGCGGCGCGGGCGCGCGGCGCGTCGTCGGACTCGTGGCCGCCGCTGCGGAGACCAAAAGATGCGACCTCTCCTTCCCCGCCACTACGCGCGGCGGCGGCGGCGGGCGACGCAGCAGCGTGGCAAACAGCAAGTACGGGGGCTGCCCGAGAAACACCGGCATCAGCGGCGGATCGCGTCTGTCCCCATGTGTCGCGGCGGGGCAAGCAGCGACGAGGAAGGATCCCCGAGTAGCCCGAGCGACTGCAACACGTCGCGAGCGCCCGTACGTGACGACGGTTTTCTGGCGACTGGCAGGCCGACAGCACCGGCGAGGTCAGTAGGCACCGAAAGCCCACCAGATCGACCAAACCGGACAAGGTCACAGGCACCGTCCGCCCAGAGTGAGGCGGGACCACCCCCACGACAAAAGAGCGCAGGGGTCGCAGGAACTCCGGCCTCTTAGTCGGCGAGGCCCGGCGGCGGCCTCACCCGTCCGTCGTGGTGGAACAGCGGTGGGGACCCGCCAGGAACGACTGCGGGCGCAACATCCGCAGCGGACATGCTCCAAACGGCCTCTTTTTCGTGATCGCCAGGCGCGGCGGCAAGGGCAGACGTAGGAAAGACCTGGCGGGCTGCCGCACCGAAAGCCGCCCCAGAAACAGCGGCATCGGCTATTGGCTTTGTCGCCACCGCCGCCTCGTGGCGCCACGGGGCACCCGAGGATCCCGAAGAGGCCCCGCCTGACGAGAGCGACTGAGAGATGTCGCGACGACTAGAACGGGCGGCACCGCTCGGCGCTGGTTCGCCTGGCGGCGGGGGCAGGGTCCGCAGGAACGAGAACGGGCCGTGTCCCGCAAGGGTGGCACAGCCCGAACTCCCATTTTCAAGCAGCGGAGCTCGTCGGTCGCGGCGGCATCCGAGCACCCGCCTCCGTGCTAGCGACGCCCGGGGGCGGGCCCGCACGCCCATCCGCAGCGGCAGCGGGGCGCGGACGGAACGAAGGCGCCACGCGATCGCCAGACCTGGATGGGGCCCCACCTGCCGGACGGCCAGAGAAGGCAGCGCGCAAACAGGGCAGATTGGCAGCAACCCGCACAGCGCGCTCGGCAGAGACGCGGCGGCGGCAGCGCACAAACCCGCGCCAGCCGACAACTGCGCGGAAGCTGGGTCCTGATGCAGGACCCCCGCCAGGCCGCAGCGTCGAGCCACTGTGGGAGCACGCGGGAGGCAGGGAGCGGGGCTTGGAAAGGTCCGCCCACTCCGACCCCCCCCGCCCCGAGCGCAGTTGTCGTCGCGCCATTAAACCCGCTTCCTGAAACCAGGAGAGCGCCATCGACGTTGGTCGCGCGAGGAACGGCTGGGCCCACCGGCGGAACAGATCGCACGAGGAATGGCCTTCTGTTTGCGCCGCGGGGGGGCTGACTCAGGCGGTCGTCGCAGTCAGGCAGCTTTGGCGCAGAGCGTTCTGCGGCCGAGGCAAGAGCTGACACTGCGCTACGGTGCACGGCTTCCTCGAAGAAGAGCCTCCGCGAGAGGAAGGAAGAGAGGTTTGCTTTGGCAGTGGCGAAGAAGAGGCAGGCAACATTGTCCACCAAGCCTACGGGATGGGGCCGCGAGCCAGCGCCACCCTCGAACGAACGAGGGGCCTTCCCAGGAGAGCGCAGAAGAGTCGAGGCGCGCGGCAGCGCCCCGCAAGCGGGCACGATCCCGCCAGCGGGGAAGGGCAGTCGGGGCGACTGCCCGCGCCGCCTGCTGTGAGGAGCGCAGCGGTCGGCGCAAGCACGCACGACCGTCGCCTGGGGCGGACGGCCGGCACGACCTACCCGGACAAGGCAGTCGGGCGAACCCCAACCGAGCCAGGTCAGCAGGTGGAGTCGCAGAGAATAAGAGGAGCATTATCAATATCATCATCACCATCATCAGCAGAAGCATCAGCATCGTCATCAGCAGCAGCAGCAGCAGCATCATCATCATCATCATCATCATCATCATCATCATCATCATCATCATCATCATCATCATCATCATCATCATCATCATCATCATCATCATCATCATCATCATCATCATCATCATCATCATCATCATCATCATCATCATCATCATCATCATCATCATCATCATCATCATCATCATCATCATCATCATCATCATCATCATCATCATCATCATCACCATCGCCATCACCATCACCATCACCATCATCATCATCATCATCATCATCATCAACATCAACAGCATCATCATCATCATCGTCATAATCGTCACCATCATCATCAGCATCATCATCATCATGAATATCATGATCATGATCATTATCATCATCATCATCACCACCACCATCGTCATCATCATCAGCATCATCATCATCAGCATCAGCAGAATCAGCATCAGCATCAGCATCAGCATCAGCAACAGCATCATCATTATCGTAATCATGATCGGCGTCGTCATCATCAGCATCATCATCATGATCGTCATTATCATCAGCGTCGTCAGCATCAGCATCATCGTCATCATAATGATCATATATGTTGATATCATTCTTCATTATCCTCCCCATCTTCTCCCTCTTCCTTCTCTTCCTTATCGGCCTGTTCCTCCTCCTCCCTCCTCCCTCCTCCCCCTTTCCCTCCCCCTACCCCTCCTTATCCTCCTCCTCCGATTCCTCCTCCATCCTCACCATCTTGGGGTGCGGCGGCTTCCCCGGCCCTGTACTCCACGGCATACTCCTCCACACCCCTCCCTGATCAGGGCGACTAGCCTGGGCATCGGTTCTGTATGGAAAGCTGGGATTACGCGAAACGTCTAAAATTTGACTCACCTATTGTGATCTGCTTTGAACGACTTGATATTCCTTCAATCGCTTGCATTCCCGGGTACCCCCATTGCATGCAGCTGCTGCCTGCGCGAGCAGTAGCCGCGCCGCCGCCTGCCTGCGCGCGTCATGGCACGACGCCGGTACTTGGCACGGGCATCTCGGATTGGTGGCGCGTGCACCCCAAGGCTTCAGCACCGAATATGCCATGGGACCGCCGACGTCATGACCACGATAACATTCAGCGGCCGCCTGCGCCGAAGCGAAAGAATGCTCCTTGGCGTTTTGCCAAGCGAATGTTTGCCCGCACCATGACCTCCTGCAGCACGCACCGCATCCGCAACTGGTTCGAGTGCATTCGTCCGATCAGGGACCCGTCTGGCCCGCACCGTATCCAGACTAGGATCGCGCGTCGTCCGACAGAGCACCTTATCTTGGGCCTGCGCCGCATCCAAACGAGGATCGCGCCCGCTCGTCCGAGCGAGGACCGACTTTGGAATTCGCCGCATCCGAACTAGGCTCGCGTGCGAACGCAAGAAAGAACATTGGTTTGGTCCGCGCCGCATCCAAAATAAGCTCGCGTGCAAACGCCCTAACTAGGACTGGTTCGGCCCGCGCCGCATCCAAATTAGGATCTGCGTATCACGCAAACACGCACTTCCTTGCAAAGCTCTCACACACATCGATGCAGAACGACACCAAATACAGTTCACATGACATGACGCGAGCGCGACAAGCGAATGTTTGCATGCCGCGTAACGTACATGACAAAAAAGCCAAGCGCCACAAATAACACGCTGCAACACATTCTGTCTCCGCACCCCTGGCCACCCCACCAGACAAGCGTTCGCTGTGCCCACTGCTCATCGAGCTGGCCACAGGGGAGCCATTACCGAGTCCTGTCCCTCCTCTGCCGAAGGCTGCCACGAACTGGTTGAAACCACTGCCTTTCGGAAGAACCTGCCCCTCAATCCCCACCAAATGCTTGCATGTATACCTTGAACGGCCACTCACGGAGAACGGAAAGGAGGAAACAGGTGAAGGAGGATCAAGACAGCGGAGCGCAAAAGAGTATGCACAAAAAGACGTCCAACACTGCTTCACGCATCGCTCGTCCAGGGCCGTATCCACTAGTTGGCGTTCCGCCCCCCAGGGTCGCATCGCCAGCAGCTCATCGCCCGCGCCGGTCCCCTGGCCCTGACTGACGCCCCCTGTCGAAGCGCCGACGCACCAGGACACCTGTGAATGACGACAAAGCCCATGCCCGCGGAAACGAGTAGCACACACGAGCACGACAGCCTCTCTGCTCATTATTTCGGCAGCACTGATTCCCGAATTGAAATGCGTGCATGACAACACCCCTTCGTTGCGAGGATACCTCCCAACACGTTTGACACGCCGACGAAGATGCCTCCCCGACAGTCTGTGACACAACGAACAGCGTGTAACCCTAAAATGAAGGAGACTCAATCGCGTTTGCAACAGCAAGGCGGCAACAGAGACCGCATACGCCTCACGCCCAAGGGCCACACCTGGCAACGGCATTTCCACCTGTGAAAAAGTCTGGAGCATTGTCTGCGCGCAACTTAGGTGGTTCGCACCACTGACTTCCCCGGTGAGTGATGGAGCCCCTGGTCCTGCACCCTCTCGCACACAAATGCTGGCCGTCTGCCACGAGGCTTTGCGTCCAACGGACCCGTGCGAGCACAAGGCGTTAACCCACAAAGCTTGCATCACGTGAATGTATCGCAGCGAGGCGAAAACAAAACGGTGAAACAAAAGGCCAGCATGGTCGCACAATATGGTCGCCAGACACCCACTCCAAACCACAGCGCTGACGTATGCACGCACGGCTTCACTTTCAATCCCGGCAGCAACCAGACCGCCCCAACTGGTACAACAGCCAGGCGCGCCAGAGAAGAACCCCCCGCCTTCGGAACAGATTCGCAGGACCACTAAAGGTTGATGGACAGAAGCTGCCGACGCAAAGGACGTGCCTCCCAAAAGGGCCTGCACATGCTTTGATCGGACAAAGTGTGCCCAAGAGCGCCGCCGCCGGGTACCCTGTGTTCGAAGCAACCCCACAGGAAACTTGCCATACGTCGGAGACAACCCGTAAAAGCTGCGCCCACGGGGCCACCCGCGTCACCCCACCGCTCCGAAACGCCCAAATACAAAAAAACGCAGGCCCAAGAGGCCCCCTAAGACGGCCCCATGACAGCCACATGGACCTTTAAGACGGCATCATCATCATCATCATCATCATCATCATCATCATCATCATCATCATCATCATCATCATCATCATCATCATCATCATCATCATCATCATCCGCGTCGCCGTCGTCGTCATCGTCATCATCATCATCATCATCATCATCATCATCATCAGCATCAGCAGCAGCAGCATCATCATCATCATCATCATCATCATCATCATCATCATCGTCATCATCAGATTCATCATCATCATCATCAACAACCTCATCAACCTCATCAGCATCATCATCAACATGATTATCATCAACAGCATCATCAACAGCAGCATCATCATCAGCAGCAGCATCATCATCAACCTCATCAGCATCATCATCATCATCATCATCATCATCATCATCATCATCATCGCCATCATCATCATCATCAGCAGCAGCAGCAGCACCAGCAGCATCATCATCATCATCCATTATCATCGTCATCACCGTCATCATCATCATCATCAGCAGCAGCAGCATCAACATCAGCATCATCATCATCATCATCATCATCAGCAACAGCATCAGCAGCATCATCATCGTCATGATCATCCGCATCATCGTCACCACCATCATCATCACCAGCATCATCATCAGCAGCATCATCAGCATCAGCATTTGCATCATCGTCATCATCATCAGCATCGTAGTCATCACCATCACTAGTATCATCATCACTAACAACATCGTCACCACCACCATCATCATCATCATCATCATCATCATCATCATCATCATCATTATAATCACCACCACCACCAAACCACCACCACAACCACCAGCATCATCCGCAGCATCATCATCATCACCATCATCATCGTCATCATCAGATTCATCATCATCATCATCATCATCGTCATCATCATCGTCATCATCATCGTCATCATCATTATCATTAGAATTATCATCATCGTAATCATCGTCATCATCATCAGCATCATCAGCATCATAATCACCATCACCATCACCATCATCATCATCATCATCATCGTCATCGTCATCATAGTCATCATCATCCTCATCATCATCATCATCTTCACCATCATCATCATCAGCAGCAGCATCATCATCAGCATCATCAGCATCAGCAGCGTCATCATCATTGGCAGCTGCAGCGTAATAATCATCATCAGCAGCAGCATCATCATAATCATCATCGTCATACGTCTCAACAGCATTATCCAAATCACTGTCGTAATCATGATCATCAGCAGCAGCAGCAGCATGATCATCATCATCAGTTTCATCCTCATCAGCATTAACATCATCATCAGCAGCACCAGAATCAGCATCATCATCATCATAATCATCATCATCGTCCCCATCATCTTCATCTTTATCCTCATCCTCATCAATCATCCTCATCTTCCTCCTCCTTATCCTCATCCTCCTCATCAGCATCATCGTCATCATCATCATCGTCATCAGCATCATCTTCATCAGCATCATCCTCATCCTTTTCCGTGGACTTGTTTTTGTGCGATGTTCGGTTCCTTTGCGGCCTTCCCAGGGCCTCTTGCTCCCACTTCAGGCTCGGCGGAACTGGCCGCAAGGCCTCCCCAGCACAAGTACAGCTGCGGTAGGCCCACAATCTGCTGCCCAACTCCGCGACAGCACACTCGGCTGCTGGTGAGGCGGATCTCGTGACAGCAGGCGTCTCATTTGCGATTCACTATACGAACGAACGTAACTCCACGTTCGGCCGCGTGCTTCGAAAAGCATACCGGTCCTCCGAAAAGAACACTCAAACTAGATGGACCAGCACATGCGGCAACAGGCACTGGAACACAGTTCTGATGGCACCGTTCTCGTGAAACCTGATCGGACAAGAACGGGAAGCGCCGATTTTGTCCAGTGCAGTGGGCTCGTAGGGAGGATAAGAAGAAAAGAATGATGGTGCCGACGAGGCGGCGGATGTCGAGAATGTCAGCGAGGATGACGGGGAGGACACGTGGGGGGCAGAAGGACAATGAGAAGGAAGACAGGCGCGAGGACGAGGAAGTCATGGAGGAAGACGAGTATGAGAAGGAACGAACCGGTGGAGGAGGAGAAGAAGAAAAAGGACGACGACGACGATGAAAAAGGACGGTAAGCAGCCCGATGAAGACGATGTCGAAGAAGAGAGGGCTCCTCGTGATCTTTGAGGCTACCCTCAGGGCTGTTTAGGCCGTCTGGAGCTATCCTGGGAGGCTGTTGGGGCATCCTGGGGGGCTCTTTGGGGCCTGTCGGGGTCATCTTGGGGACTACTGGTGTCTTCTTGGGTTGTCTGGGCATGTTTCAGGGTTCGATAGGGACTCTCTCAGGCCAACTTGGCGCCATCTTGTACTGTCTGGGCCGTCTTGGGGCCCTCTTGGGCAGTCCCGAGGCCTCTTCGGGCACTCTTGTGGACCTCTGGGCGGCTCGTGGGGGCCTCTTGGGGGCCTATTGAAGCGCTTTGGTGATCCCCTGGGAGACCTTCGGGGGCTCTCTGGGGCCGTTTTGAAGCCCTCTGGGGGCGATTCCAAGATAATGCTGGTTCGGGGCCCCTTCCAGGGCAATTTGTTCGAGGATGTCTCGAGCGAAACGGACGTCACCGAAACCTCACCAGGCAAGAGAAGCGTAGTTTTTCTCTGAAGCTTGTCTGAGAATGTCCTTTTGAGATTTTGAGAACGTCATAAAACTCGATAGCGAAGCCCAACCGACCAACTAAACCGCTGGCACCTTATCATGTTGGGCTGCCGTGTTCCTGTAATATGCATATGCCGTGTTCCTCTGGTCTGCCGTGCTCTTGTGTGGTCTGCCGTGCTCCTGTGGGGTCAGCCGTGCCCCTGTGGGGTCAGCCGTCTTCCTGTGGGGTAAGCCGTGCCCCTGTGGTATGCCGTGCTCCTGCGGGGTCTGCCGTGTTCCTGTGAGGTCTGCCGTGTTCATGTGTGGTCTGCCGTGCTCGTGTGGGGTCTGCCGTGCTCCTGCGGTCTGCAGTGCTCCTGTGTGATTTGCAGCGCTTCTGCCGTGGTCTGCCGTGCTCCTGTGCAGTCTGCCGCGCTCCTGTGTATTTTGAAATGTTCCTGCGGGGTCTGCGGTATTCCTGTGGTCTGCCGTGTTCCTATGACGTGCAGTGTTCCTGTGTTGTCTGCCGTGCTCCTGCGTGGTTGACCGTGTTCCTGCGTGATCTTCAGTGCTCCTGTGGGGTCAGCCTTGTTCCTGTGTGTTCCGCCGTGCTCCTCCGTGATCTGCCATGATCTTGTGGTCTGCCGTGCTCCTGTGTGATTTGCAGCGTTTCTGCCGTGGTCTGCCGTGCTCCTGTGCAGTCTGGCGCGTTCCTGTGTAATATGCCGTGTTCTTGCGGGGTCTGGGGTGTTCCTGTGGTTTGCCGTGTTCCTATGATGTGCACTGTTCCTGTGTTGTCTGCCGTGCTCCTGCGTGGTTGACCGTGCTCCTGTGTGGTTTTCCGTGCTCCTGTGGGGTCAACCCTGTTCCCGTGTGTTCCGCCGTGCTCCTCCGTTATCTGCCATGATCCTGTGGTCTGCCGTGTTCCTGTGCGGTGTGCCGCGTTCCTGCGTGGTCTGCCGTGCTTTTGTGGGCTGCCGCGCTCCTATGGTCTGCCGTACTCCTGCGCGGTCAGCCGTGCTCCAG